GTTTAGGGCTGTTGTACATAGGGTCGCTATGAGTGGCAAGCGACTCGACGGCACATAACAACAACAACTACAGTAACTTCAAAGGAGAAAGATGTGCAATCCCCTCCCATGCAGATTAATTGCCTCTGAAAATCCAGTGGAGGGTCAAATATAGGTCTGTTCCTACTCCATGGAATACTTAACAGTAACTCATAGCTTAAGTGCTTGGCTGCTAGCCAGACGGTCAGCAGTTCAAACCTCCCAACCAGTCTTCTGGAAGAAGATGTGGCAGTAGCTTCTGTAAAGCAGAAGCCCTGGAAGCTCTAAGGGACAGCTCTCCTCTGATCTGCAGGGTCATTGTGAGTGGAAATTTACATGATAGCAGTGGGTTACTGGTTTGTTTTGTATATCAAGTTAATATTTATGTCTTAAAAATTATTCTAGATCATTTACAATTTTGAAAATACTATGCAGCATGCAGGACCAATAATTGTGTAAATTATTACCTAACTTGGGAGGGACTGGAGAGCATTATGCTGAGTGAACTAACTCAATCCCACAAGGATAAATATTGTAGAAAACCGTTACTGTAGAATGAGTATAAGGATCCAAGGGGGGTGGGAGAGAGTGGAAGTAGAGGGATTAGGATATGCAGGGGAGGAGGGATTAGTCATGAGGTTGTACAATTTCTTGGGAGTGCCATGAGGGAAATTAAAGAATTTGTTCTTAAAAACAATTAATTCTAATTTTGTAAATAAACTAGTAGAAAATTAAGAAAAAAGAAACATCACAATTAAAAAACTTATAGGTAAAGGAGGCTGTACACATTTATAACTGAAGGGGCTGGTCAAGGTAACTTCTTACATGAAATTAGAGACTTTGCTTCCATTTCTAGGCAGTCTGGCCAAAAACAGGCCAGTAACACAAATGATCTCTTGCTTTAAAAATTTTTGAGTATTTGGCAATGTATTTGAATTTTGCTTATTGTAGTAAATAATTCATTGTGTCATTACTGAGTGCAATGGAATTGATTCCATCTTACAGTGGCGATATAGAAAGGAATAGAACTCTCCTATGGGGTTTCTTAGATTGTCATCTTTACATGTGGGTCTTTTCTTTCAGGGAATGGATGATAGTTTGAACTGTTGACCTTCAGGTTAGAGTAACTACTGTGCCCTAGGGTTTTGTGATGGAACTATGGGTGAATGCTAATATGTATGCCTCATGTACATAAAAATCAATGTTGCTGTCAAAAGATGTGAATGATACGTGAATGTGAAGAATAGTCACAGCCAGATCCTTCTACTCCTTTTTCCTAGAATTTCTAGGCAGCTTCTATGAATGATACATGAAATACTTTATACTTATTCTGGAAATTTCAGTATGCAATTTCAGTGGCGTAATCAGAACTATGTATATGTTCACATAATCTGTTCACAGATCTGCCCTAGCCCTCCCTTTCCAAGCTTAACTCTTCTCTCTGTGCCTCTCCCAGATATATAGGGAAATGTACGTGCTCAGAGTCCTACTCTTCTATTTACAGTGCTGATCTAGATGATGGTTAGGTGAGGCCCACTTTTTTAAACGTACACAAACTAATTATCTGCCTTTTGGGAACTATTTCAATATACAAATAACAAGGAAGTAATGTTTCTCTGAAAAGGCATCCTCTAGAATAAAGAATCTGAAATTAGAAGGCCATTACTTCATCATCTATATCAACTCTGTCCTGCTTCTTCTATTTGAATACTTCTTTTAGGTACATCATTGGATCACAGGACAACCTGCTCTAGGTTTGGAACATTTATTTTTTTTTATCAGTCTGAAGTTGAACTCTCTCTGATTTTCACCCTCAACAGTTTATTTTCAGTGAAATACTTCCTCAACTAGTGTATACCATTTTGTCTAGTCATCAGGCCTCATGTTTTACATGAATGTTAGGTTGCTTCCCAGAACTCTAAGTATTAACCTCAAATTCATCTGACTGTGTCAGAAGACCAAAAGACAGAACATTATTTTTAACTTTCTTGACCTACAGTCTGAACAGTTGGCTTGTGTTCTAGGCAGGCATATCACTCAACTGATTCATGAGTCGTGTCAGAGTCCTAGTTTTTATTCAATAAACCATAATTAAACCAGACTACCTCCTTTCTTGTACAATCCGGCCTTTGTATTTAAATAGGAGACCTCACATATATTTAATCTGCTGTAAGTGTTTCAGAATCTTTTTTAATCCTTTCATGAGCAACATTCTGTGAAATGTGCTAAGTGCTGGGGATATAAAGAAAAAAGGCTTGGTTCCTTTGCTCAGGCAGAAGTCAGTTCTGGCAGTGATCACATGGTGTTGGTGGGTGTTCTGTCACAGTTGTCATGGAGCACAGAGGAAGCGGGAGTTATTCACCTTTTCCTCCTGACAGTGTTCCCAATAAGATGGAATGACACAGTCAGCTCTAACAGTGGGCTCGCATATCTGATTGTGAGAATGGCCTAGGACAGGACAAGGGTGGTAAGGGTCACAGTGAGTCATTGTAAACTTGATGACACCTAACAGCTGCAATACTTATTATATGCTAGTCATCATAAATAAAGATGTTAGCTGGAGATATCTCTTTTTCACCAAGCTTTTAAAGATTTTCATTTATTAGTCATTTTTGAGAGCCTTGTGTGTGCCTGCTCACTCATAGCTTTGATAAATAAGCTTTGTGTGACCCACACAAAGTATTCTTTAAAAATTGTGGAGGAAACTAATAAATAAATAAAATGTGGAGGAAAATCAAGTCTGTCAGCCTCCAAGGGAATATTGTTCTGTTTGAATATGTCAAGGTGATTTTGAGCCCCAAGTAAATGAAAGTGGATGTTCAGTGTAACTGATGTTCTTTAAATATATCTGTTATATTTCTGCTTTTCTCATTTAGCAAGAGAAACCTTATGTTGTACTATTAACAACATTTGCCTAACTCATTTTAATGGCTGCATCAAGTATTTTGTGTAAGTTTTAATTCTTTACCTCATGGACACTGAATTTTTTTCCTTTCAATTTTGGTATAAAATCTAGTACAGTGAGTTTTTATGTAGAAAACTTTCTCTGAATTTATGGTTTCTTTGTTTACCTTTCAAGATGTAGAATAACTATAGAAACATAATAAATTTTAAAGATTCTTAAATTGGCAGTTACTTTCCAAATGACGTTACTGTAATAACTTTCAAAAATAAGGTAGTCAAACCTTATCTCTCTGACTAAAATATTTTTTAATAAATAATGTCTTAACTGAGCATGAATTTTAGACTCTTCATTTGAAAAGGCTATGTGGGGAAAATGTAGACCTAGAAAGTAATACCTAAATATGAAAAGGTCAGATGTTAACGAAGTGGAATTTTGTTCATGGCTTTCTGGTGGTCTAGTAAGGCACTCCTTTACTAACTTAAAGGCAGATGGTTCAATTCTACCAGCTGCTCTGTGGGAGAAGGTGGGATAATCTCCTTCCATGCAGTTTACAGCCTCTGAAAACCCTCTGTGGGTCAGCTATGAGTCTTTTCCTATCTGGTGGCACATAACAACAAAAGCGTTTTATTATACCTATCTGGTGGCACATAACAACAAAAACGATTTTATTATATTTGATTCAAACATTCCTGGCAGGTGAGCTCATTGCAAATTAATATTATCAAGGTGATTCTATATATAAGTTTTGGGTTTTTTTTTTGTTTTTTTGGTTTTTTTTTAGAGTTACAACTCCATCTTTATCTATATATAAGTTTTAACTTTAAGGTAAAGTTTGGAAGTCTTTATGAAGATAATGACCACTTGTGGAGATAAAGGTTATCCTTTATTACTGTTTCCTGAGCCAGAGACATTCTTATGGTTTTGCTGCCACATTGTGTCATTATTGAGAATTACATCTTTGTTTCACAGCTGCAGGCCAAATTTGAACATCTTAAAAGAGTTCACCAAGAAGAGAGAATGAAGCTTGAAGAAAAGAGAAAACTTTTAGAAGAAGAAATAATTGCTTTTTCTAAAAAGAAAGCATCCTCTGAAATATTCCAAAACCAATCTTATTCTGTTCCTACTGGTAGTAAGAGGGAAAAGGATCGAAAAAAGTAAGTAATCCTGAACCACTCTATGTTTTAGCCCTGTCCTCCTCCTCACCTATTACTTTCTGTCTCATGGCCCTGTGCTTCTCTCATTGTCTGTTTACTTACTCCTTGTCTGCCTCCTACCCTGAAATGCCAGCTCCTTGAGAGCGGGGACCTTGTCCATCTTTTTCACTGCTGCTTCCTCAGCATGTTAGAACAATGCCCGATGCATATAGTTCTGCATAGGTGCCCAAGATATAATTATCAACTCAAATGAATAAACAAAATGAAAATGCGTCCCAGTCAGTGACTTGGGGGAGGGGGAGAAATGGCTGTTCTTACTTTGTAGCCTAACCCTATGGCTTTACTAACTCAGCTAATTATTAGTGCCCTACCAATAGTTAGAATTTCATAACTAAATGGAAGCAAGCTATGCACTTTGGGGAACCATAGATATATAAAAACAACTAATTTTTAGGTTTGCTTATTTATTTTTTCTTTTTAAAGAAAACCCACTCTGCTGATATTGATTCTGTGAGAATTTTTATTTTAATAAGGGAAACAGGCTATCGATTGGAACTGCTGTGCTTTGATATCAGAGCTGGTGAAACCAGTGAAGTACGTAAAGATGGAGAGGAAGGTTGAGAGGGCTTCAGTTCAATGGGGCGGCTATGAGTAGCATTTGGATGATAATCTCAAGGCCTGTAGGTTTTGGGTATGTGTTAAAATCAAAGTTACCAAAGTTTTAGATTATAAGTTTTCCCCTCTTTTTGTAATTTCCTTCAGTACATTGTATCTCTAATTTTCTCCCTTTAAAAATATTCTATTACCTATTTGTCATTGAAATTCATTAAGACTTTCTATTTAGAATGCTACCTCTTTTTACCCTAGCTGCCTCTGCTTTAATCACCTCAGTTTCTCCTTCTGTCCCTTACAGAGCAACACTTGTTTCTCTTTTAATTGTATTACCATATCTGTTTCAGATTGGATTTTTTAATAAATATTATGACTCAGTTTCAAAATAGTTAGGAAAGCATAATCTTGCCTCCTGGTGCTTTTGAAATGTGGAAAAGAAAAGTAATTCTACAGGGCTTTGGTGCATTTAATCACCTTGTGGATTTCATAGTTTTGAGAAGAAGAGTAAGGGTTCTTGTTTATGATCTTCTAATGGAGGTATGGTGGCTTAGTGGTAAAGAGTTGTGCGGGCAACCCAAAGGCACACAGTTAAAATGCACCAGCTGCACAGTTTCCACCCGTATAATTACAGCCTCTGAAAACCCTTTGGAGGGTCAGCTGTGAATCAGTTCTGACTTGATAGCCCCTAAGAACAAGGACAGCTTTATAAAGATATCAGTTTTGCTTAATAGTATACATTCATACCTAGAGCCTAGACTGACATACAAACAGCAATTAATTATTTGTCAAAAGAGTGAATTTGGGTGTTCTAATAGCCATGTGATGTGTAGACAAAGAATTGCATTTTAAAAATAAACTCATTTATTATGCTTTTCATCATATTTTAATTGATAAAACTAAGGGATCTTTTCCCTTCTTACTCTTTCATCTTAATTCAGTGCTACAAAAGTCAGGTTTTCCAGTTCTATTCTAATCATAAAAGGTGATAATGTTTGCATTGAAAAATTATCCCCCTTCTCTTGAAAACCAATAATGTGTGCTATTTTTTTAACTCTCTAATAGCCAAATCTATACTATTTGAGATATCAGAGGATTTATCCTCAGAAAAACATGGTTTGGTGGTTTGGGTTTTTACTCTTTTGCTCACAAAGAATATAGCTGAATATTCTATAGTATGTTTGGTTCATATTTGCTCTTTCTTGTAAAAGCTTTGTAAACCAGTTATTCCAATAATTTTAATTTTGTGTATGATTTTTTAAAAATTGTACCAAAGAATTTTTTTTTCTCTTTTCAGCTCTAGTTACATATAGAACAGTCATTCTAGAACATCATATAAGAAGATCATTACAAGTGGAAGTTATTAAAAAAAATTGGGTGTGTGCCTTGATTTTTTTTACTGTTTTTTATTTGCTATATTATTTGCTTGTTCTCTATCTCATGAGTGGACACAATAACCACCATTTATGGAAAATTATTTCTAAATATAAGGTCAGTACATATGCCCAAGTAGGCAATATTGCTTAGATAATGAAATAATGACTGTTACAAATTTTTAAGTTACTTAAAATGAATCTAGGCTGTTCTCCCTTTTGCCAACTAATTGTTAAATTTGTAGTGCATTATACCAAAGAGAGAAGTATTAGTGTCATTTAAAATCCATAATTTTATATTATAACTATGTGGTTCACTTATATCTTAAGATGAGTTCCTTTTTAAAAAAATAATAGACAAAAGTTAAAATTTTAGGGATATATTTTGAAATATATGTCTGAAACTCTAACCTTTGAATAGTTTTATAAAAATGCTTAATTTTTTTATATGATGACCTAGTTGGTATTATCTAAGCCTTTCTACCAAATTGTATAACCTTCTGGACTGGTTTGGTTTTTAGCAGTTGATGTGATTGAAACAAAGTCTGTTTAAAGATGAAAACATCCAGGTGCAGAATTGTTAACTATGTTATAAATACCTTTTGAAACTTAGCATATCACAAGATTTTCATTAGGATGTATTTCATACTTGCTTAAAATTCTTGTATTCTAGAAGGGGGGGGAAAGGGTAATGTTGAACCATCTTATTAAAAAAAATTTTTATAGTAAAAGACTATGAACATCTAAATATAATAGATGTTAAGAGTCCAAGTAACTCATGGGATATTTGAATTCAAAGTGCCTTAGTAATATTCTC